ATATAAACCTCCATCACCACAGACTGAAGCGGAAAGCTGTGCTGGCCTGAGGAGGCAGTGATGAGGAATGGAGCAGAACCTCTAAATCATAGACACAGAACATATAAGACAGGGGGAAAAGGGCTCATGCAGGGTGTCACTGTATGAAGAACTGAAGATTTTACAGAGGCTCCAAATACATACAATTATATACAGGATGTCACAAAAGTGAGTACACCCCTCACATTATTGTAAATATTTGATAATATCTTTTCATGTGACAACACTGAAGAAATGACACTTGCTACAATGTAAAGTAATGAGTGAAAGCCTGTATAACAGCGTAAATTTGCAGTCCCCTCAAAATTACACATCACACAGCCATTAATGTCTAAACCACTGGCAACAAAAATGAGTACACCTCTAAGTGAAAATGTCCAAATTGGGCCAAAAGTGTCAATATTTTGAGTGGCCACCATTATTTTCCAGAACTTTTCCTGCCCACCCCGGGGCAGCCACCCACCGCCCCCCAGAAAGGGGCTCACCTTCCCGGGTACACATTCAGAAAAAAAATGTCCCACCTCCAGGTACATGTTGAACCGCTGTATGGTTTTGGCCACAGGGTCTAGGCAATCTTCTTATAGCCTAGGCCATCTTTTGGCTCCGCCTTTCTAGTCTTTTTTTTTCGACCACTCAAAGCGCTTTTACACTACATCTGCATTCACCATTCACACACATTCATACACTGAGAGGAACAGCCTCCAGGGGAAATTCGGGGTTCAGTACCTTGCCCAAGGACATTTCCACATGCATCCACAGTGAACTGCCAACCTTCCGATTAACAGGCAACCCGCTCTACCTCCTGAGCCACAGCTCCTATGAAGAGCAACAATTCTTTTTTTCATATCCCCAGAGAGTTCTTTGCATAGACAGTATATTACTGGACGAAGCCACCCCGCTGATTTGAATGGAGAGCAGTGAAGCCAGTTTTTGGACCAATAAAATACTACTGGTCCAGCGTCTACTGCGCATGATCGCGCAGCATAACCGTGGTTTACGGCAGAGACACCGTAATTCTGGTAGCTGCATAGCTGCGCCAACAAAAAGTCTCATGGCTCAGTGTGTTTGTCTGACTCGGATCGTCACTGATTAAATCAGCCCACCTACGAGGCTCACCTGTCAAACACCAATGCAGCGTCACTGATCGCTGTATAGTTTTTTTTAGATTGCTTAGAGCTTATAATCTAAGCAATACGGTTACATCTCTCATGTGCAATGGGGTATCACAGGGTTTTGACGTCATTTTTGGGCCTACATGGATCCCTCCGTGCAGGCTTTGGTCGGCTTCACTGTCTGATCTCCGGCTTACCCCCTTGGTTCTTTACCATGAGGTGCCATGTTGAACTTCCACTGACCAGTATGAGGGAGTGTGAGAGCGACACCAAATTTAACACACCTGCTCCCCATTCACACCTGAGACCTTCTAACACTAACGAGTCACATGTCACCGGGGAGGGAAAATGGCTAACTGGGCTCAATTTTCACTTCTGTTGCCAGCGGTTTAGACATCAATGGCTGTGTGATGTGTTATTTTGAGGGGACAGCAAATTTACACGGTTATACAGGCTGTACACTCACTACTTTACATTGTAGCAAAGTGCCAAAACCTGACCATGCCCACAATAATAATAAAAGCTTCTTTAAGATCACTGCGTTACATCCATCACTTCCGACAGTAATTACAAAAGTGGAATCACTCCAAGGTGGCGTTGGGTGAAAAGAAGATGTAACAATACGATAGTTTATTAGTGCGGGAATAATTCATGTTACTAACAAGATGAGTTAAATTTGTCAGATCTGAACCACAGACAGAATACAGAACCACCCCTGCAAGAGGAAGGGCCCGGTGATGGAGGGGAGAGTCAGATGGTGTTATGGATCAACTAGTTTCTCTGTTAACTGCTGATTTTCACCTCAATGCATCGATGGATGCCTCTGGAAACAGCAGATGTTGAAAAAGAGAAGATGACATTAAGCGGTCCTTGTAAATGTCTCGTTGTTGTCTTTTTCAATAAAATTTCAAAATGCACCCATCTGCTTCTTTTGGAGGCTTAGTGAAACAAGCATTAAGTCACATTTGGTGTTTTTTTAACTCTATCTGTATCATTTGGCGACCTTCTAATAGGCCCTTTTCACAGAAGACATTATGGCATGTCACAGCAGGAAAAAGCACTGGTATAATTGATAACCTTAATTAAAGAGCTCCAGTTCCAGGGTCTTAGTCTTGTGCATGCCGGTTCACTGGCATGGCTTAATAATTCATCTAAATGGCCAGAGCCATCATTAACAGTATTAATTACACATCTGTTTTTCCTACTATGACACGTTCAAAAGTCTTGAAGAATGTCTATTACAGCCCCAATTTTCTGAAAATTAAAACCAATTCATTAATTAATACTCAATCACTTTTTGCATTAAAGAGGTTTAAGATTTTTACAGTAGGCAGATGGAGCATCATACATCTGCTTAAAATGTATTTCCATTTTAAAAATAAATCAGAGTTGACTCACTGGTCATGTGCTACCTTTGCCTCACTTTGAGCTGGGAAAAAACCTGTCTCATGAATGAATGTAATTTGTAAAGGCAGCTGCTACAAGCTTAAGGTAGTTTCAGTAGGTTTTCTTAGGTAAAGAGACACAAAAAGTGTTAAATGGGACTTGGATATGCGTCATGTGCCTAGTTGATTGCTTAAAATAGATTACTTCACACATTAGCCCTGTCTGTATGGCTGTGTGTGATTGGTCAAGTGTTTGGCCAGGAGACCAAAACATGGGCTTTTAAAGTCTGACACTGTGGGTCCACCCCATAGTCCACCCTCAGACAAAACGGAGGCAACCATGCTGATTTTTTTTTTGGCCTACATTTATTTACATTTTGGAAATTTGGCAACATTAAAAGTATGCCGAATTAGCCATTAGCAGTTCCTGTTTGCAGTGTGATTATGAAGAAAACTTAAAAACGCGATAATTCTCAGGCAAGATCTGTGGTTATAACAAGCTTCTGTTTTTTTAGTAGCAGTAGACTTAAAGATTTTTATACATGGATACACATTTGGACGTGAAAGATAATGATAGCCCCAGAAAGTGTAAGTCAGACTGAATGTAAAAAATCACATTTCTGGGTTCAGATTTGACTGAGAAAAAGTAGCTTAAATAATTTAATTGCCTCCTTGAGCTGCCGACTGCTGGGAAGCAGGCAGTCAGCAGGTAAAACTACAATAACCCCCAGTTCAACACATGGACCTCTGGACATTCAGACCTCTGGTCTGAATTCTGTTCCTCTTCATAGTGTCATTACATTGGCTACCACACACACACACACACACACACACACACACACACACACACGTAAGTGTCTAAACATTTTCTATCACATATAGACTAAGATCAACTGCTAAATCTTCTAGTTTTACTACTCATAAATTGCATTTCAATGACAACTACATTGTAAAACTTGCATCATCGGCAATACTGAGATGGGGTGAAGGGGCTAACTGTAACATATGTTCAATAATTCTAGCACCAAACCTCATTTCAGTTATAGCTGGAAAGGACAATCAGTTTTCACAAGGGACAGCGGTGAAATTCCTGCACATATTTTGACACCACACAGCTCCTCGCTGTAATATCTTGAGGTTTATCTCATTTACCGCAGAGGCCTAACAAGGGGAATTGATGAAGTGAACACAGAAGTGGTTCTGCATAAAATGATTTAGAGCCTGCGTTAATACCCACAGAGAGAAAGGGATTTTAAATTTCAAATTCCTCCACTACCGCAAACAAAACCGGGACCTATTTAGTTCAACAAGAGCCAGGTCTTCAACCTTTCCCATCTAAAAGGAAAAGGGAGAAAAGGACTCACAACTCATCAACCAACACATACACATGCATAAGTGTGAATATCAGAAGTGTTGATCTGCAAAAGCGGAAAGCTGTAAAACATAAAATCAGGCCGGAAAACCCACAGAAAGTTTTTTCTGTGTCTGTGCTTCCAGCTGCCCAACTAAGGAGAAATTGAGAAAAAAAATTACTAAAAATAATTTATTTAAAAGATATATATTTTTAAACAGTTCCTCATTTAAAAGCTGTAACAGTGTCCCAGTGGTTCCTCTATGACTGAGTAGGTGTAATGAGTCGTGCTGCCTTTAAGAGCTTATAACAATGAAAGAACTAGTAATTAGTTTGAATGTCCCATGTTGGTCACTAAAGCTCTGGGGGGCCGGCTTTCCCTGGCTCCCCATGAGGCCACAGTAGTACAGAATGGATGGGTTGGGAGGTGTGAGGTTCTTACAGTCTCAACTACATTTAAATATATTTGCAATTTGTCTTCGTTTGCAGCACCATGCTGTATTAAAGAAAATACTTCTCAGGAAAGGTCTGCCGTTTTTTGGTTATTCTTCTGTTTTGTAAAGAAAGAGCAAGGAATAAAAGAAAGGCAAGCAAACCAAAAAATCCAACACAGAGGGCGAGTTTATCGAGTAGCTGATCAATAAGTGCAACCTCAGCCAGAAGAGGAGTCAAATAAAGAAAAATTAGGACAGAAAAGAAAGCATAGACACAAATACCTCTGACTGCTGATTATAGCCTTGGATGGTGGAAGGCAAAATACGTTGTAGTGGCCAATGTGTGTATGGCCTTGGACACATAGACTGAATAACAAGCGTAATGAGTAGATGATCGGCACAGCATTACAAAAACACAGGGTGATAGATTGACGGGGGGGAAAAAAAGGAGATACTGCCTGCAGCCTTGGGAAAAAAATGATGAAATGTTGGGAGGTGTGGACAACATGTTAACGTTAAGACAGAACTGGAAATGCAGGAAAATAGAAAAAGCAAACAAATTAAGAACAGGAAAGGTATAACAAACAGAAGCAATGTGCAACAGAATCCCAGCCGTGGAGAGAAAGACAGACCTGTGAGCGTGGCATTTGACAGACAGAATTACAGACAGCACACTGACCTGTGAGCACGGCCTTTGCGGAGGGTTCAGCCAGGTCCAGGGCGGACTTGCCGTCGGTGTTGCGGATGTTGGGGTCGGCTCCATGCTGCAGTAGCACTGTACAACAACAGGGCAGACACAGACAGTAGCTGAGCTCCTGGACTGACATGCAAACTCCCTGACACACACCTCCTCCTAGTCTTCCTCCTCCTCCTCCCCCTGCTGCTGAACCACATCCTGCTCCATAAACTGCTCTTCCTGGACGTCCTCCTTTTTCTCCTACTTGCTCCTCTGCTATCCTTCCTGTTCCTCCTCCTCTGCTTGGGTCCCCTGGCTCCCCTGGTAGCCCTTCAGCACGTTCTGCTTCACATTTCTCTTCTCCTCCTCCTCCAGCTGCTCCTCCTCTGTTGCCATCGTTGCTCCCTCGGCTGCCCCTGGCTGCCCCTGCTCTGCGAGCCATGCTGCCGATGTAAACAGACATGCCACAACAAGAGCAGCAAAAGCTACGCTACACCACACCGCCAGGGAAACAGCGGACCTTACAAAGCGGCTACGTGACCAGCTACAAAACACATCACACTTCCATGGAGGAGGGGTGGAAGCTGAGAAAATAAATTAAAATGAGTGAGGAACGGAGAGACGAGTGGATACAGCTATTCAAAGCAGCAGCAGCGACGAGGCGGGCAGGCAGTGCGAGTGGAGAGACTCTCGCCTCTCCGACTGACTGAGCGATGCAGCGGAGAGCAAGATGAGAGAGCAGAGGAGAGGGGAGAGGGGAGAAGGGGGGGGGAGAAGAGAGAAGGGGGAGGGGGCAGAGAGTCAGAGAGGATGGAAGAGGAGGAGGACAAAAAGAGGGGAGGGGGAGCAAAACAAACCAAGAATGTTGGTTTGGGTGATAGAGAAGGAGAGAGAGCAGGAAGTCGTAAAAACTGAGGAAAAGATAGGAGAGATGAGAGGAGAGAAGAGAAGGAAAAGAAGGAAGAGAGAAGAGGAGAGGAGAAGGAAGTTGAAAAAAGAAACATGAGGAGAGAAGAGGAAATAGGAGAGGAGACGGAAGAGGATAGGAAAGAAAAGGAGATGAGAAGGAAGAAGAGAGGAGAAATGAAACGAGGAGTGGAGAGGAAAGAAGAGTAAGAGCAGAAAGAGAAGGAAGAAGAAAGGAGAGGAGAAAAGAAATGAGGAGTGGAAAAGAGAGAAGAGGAAAGGAAAGAAGAGAGAAGGAATGAGGAGAGGAGAAAGAAGAGAAGGAGAGGAGAAAAGAGGAGAAAAAAAACAAGGTGGAGGAGAAAGAAGAGAGAAGACCAGAGGAGAGGAGAAATGGCGGGAGACAAGAAAGAAAGGAAGAGAGAGGGCAGAATCATGTGACTATCGAACAGGTATGAGCGGAATAACAAACTCCTGTTAACAACCTGTGCTCAGTTTTTTTGTAAATAGGCTCTTTTGAGGGGGCTAATGTCAATACCCTCACCGCCTGCCTCTCCACCTCGATTCCCACTATTGTGATTGCTGAACAGTTCCCTGTGCACATGCCCTTTGACTTGTGTTCACTTCAAAGTACCCTGCTCAAACAGGGCAGAGAGGAGGGTAGAAGTGGAGACGATCATGTAATGTAATGTTGTGTGTATGTACGTGCACGTGTATGCGCATGCATGTGTGCGTGCCTCTGCCACAGCACTGACGCAGACCTTAGTCACCCACTCGCCCCTCAACAAAAATATGATTTAGCTCTGCACCAATCCTCCACACACATGCACGCGAGCGCGCGGGAAAGATCACACACACACGGATCCTGATACCCAACTGTGAGAGAATAAAGATATGCCCATAGTGAGGCAGAGGGAAGCAGTCTGATGCACAACCACACCGCAACACGCTTAGAATGGTTGACAGATCTGCCAATCCGGCATGCGACACTGTGTCTGATTCATGTGCAATTGTCAACTTCTAATTTTTCGTTTTCAGTTTTGTTTCTAATGCACATGGCTCGCCTGTAATACCTGCAAAATCCTTCTCTGAACAACCTAAATCCCTCTTTTGGACAGGATTAGTTTTCAGGACAATGTCAGATTTGAAATGGTTATCTTCTGACTATCTGCAATGTCTACATCCAATCAGTAAGTAACGGCACAAAACTGGGATAAACTTCTCAACCTGTCTCTGAGGTGTGGTGTACAATGTGACTCAAGGGGACAAAGTGCTGCTGAAGGACGAAATCAGCAGACAACGACAGTCAAAGAGCAGACGCGTGTATTGTCATGCAGTCTGTGAACACTTACCGCAGCTGCTTTACAGTTGTTGAGCAGCAAGTATGGCTTTTACTTGGTCTAAATTTAGATTTGGACATTTTTTGCCACTTTTATGTGTCTACACCAAATAGTGCTGAAACGATTAGTTGATCGATATTTAAAAATAATATACTGTATATAATAGACTCATTTGTCCCTGATATATATCCAGGAAAATTTCCTGCATTTGGCCTCACAAAAGTAAGGGTTACACTGCCTTTCTCTGTTTTACATTATTTATTCAATATCTTTGAGTTCTGGGCTGTTATAGTTGTACAAAACAAGCAACATACTGTATGTCTTTGCGAGTTCACTAAAACACCTTAGCAAGGCATCTCACAATTTCACCAAATAAATAAAATATGGACCCATGATAAAAAATGTATTTGAAAAGCAGGGGTTTTAGGGCATAAGGAGACAAATATTAATGTATTAATGCAGCACTCAAAAATGTCAGCAATCAAAAAGTGGTTTACAAAAACCAAACAACATTGTCATCTGCAGAAGAAGCAGAACATACAGTAGCAATGCCCAGACTGATTGTTGTATCACATCGTCCCCCTCCACCTCAGAAATTCAAAAACAAATGTTAGCCGGGAAAGGCTGGAGTCTCGGTTGCCCCTGATCATATCAATAACCAATAAAAGTACACTGAGGAGAAGTGGGGACACAGTTAAACAGAGCACTGAACTGCCATTTATTGTTAAACCCACAGCCCATCGTATGGCAGCCTTAGGATTTCCAAGATCTTCTTATCCCCAAGTTTGTTGATGAGATTTTCATTGCCAGACTTTGAGCTTGGAGGGATAGAGGACTGGTAATGAGAGATTAAATTCTCACTCAAGTTGTCCAGAGGAGACCGGAGAAGAGTTTAGAGCATCCACCATGCTGAGCTGAAGTTACAGTCGAATCAGACTTGATTTGACTCTTATTCTGCTGCCAAATCTCTAACCTGGCAGGCTGACAGGCTACCAAAACTCGGTCCAATGAGCAAGCAACAAGAGACCATGTGTTTTTTTGTTTACATGCCATAGCTTGCTTCTAGCTGTGCAGTTAGGATGGCAAACCAAAAGTCAGCTTTCCTCCTCTGGTTAACACCAGACAAAACAAACCAGTGGACAAAAGACACATTGTGGAGGTCCATCTGAGTGGTTTAACCTCACCAAAAAGTTTATAATGCTGGATTTGTAAGGCTATTGTTACAAAGCTTTATGCTGACTAGCTGAGAACTGTTTTCAGCACTCAAAGCAACATTGCTACGCAGTTCCTTGATGGAATCAAATCTAAATCACCTGTGCTGCATTATTTGATTTGTGAAGGTTCAAAATAGATATTCTAAAAGAAACAGAAAAGGAAACATCATAACCATGTTGAAACCTTAATTATAAACTGTATTTGTTATACAAATAATATAGTTCTTTGCACTGCGATTTAGCTCTTTCCCTACAAGTCTTGTTTAGTCAACATTATTGGACCATTTTCCACATACATATCAGACTTACATTCATTGGTTTCACATCATGTCAGACACAAAAAAAATGATGCACACGACATATTTAGTCATCATAGTCAGTTTTGTTGCGATTGTATGGGAATGCTGAAAAACATTCCCCATGTAGCTGCAGTATCTCATAAATTGTTTGTGTGTTCTGAAAATGTTTGCCTTTTGAACCCATAGCGAATGACAGATTTATCATCCTCTTGCTTCACAAAATGTGCCACGGATGTTTTTTCAGAAGGTGGAAGAGCTCCGACATAACGGTACTAGGGATACACGATCCTGTACTACTTCTACCCTATTACTCTCATTTTTTTGTAGAAACAGATATTAAAAAAGACAAACAACATTTGCAAAAATGTATCATTTTACAAATGTAGACATAGACATTCACCCCTGAAAAATAAGTAAATTATCTCACTTAGGGGAGGATATCTCACATGCCAGTGCAACATTTTATTTTCAAACAAAACCGTAACAACCAAGCGCCATATATTTTTCAAGCTGCAAACTGTAGCAAGCACTGTAACAGGGAGCGCTCTATAGCACAAAATAAAAGCAGGTGTAGTCCTAAAACCTCAGTCATTAGGATGTGCTTTAAAGCATAACAAACAAGGCTGGGGAGGGGATCAGGTCTGGGCTGTGGCTGAGCTAATATCTCTAGTCAGCTGTTCACACTGCTCCAGCAAACTCCTCACCATGTGTTTTAGACGAGAGAAGGCAGGTTGGGATTGCTTAAAATGTCCTACAATCTTCCTCCTCATTGAAACACAGTCAGTTAAACTTTAGGATGGGGATTGAGACCTGGTTCTATAAGGATATAATCAATAAGGTCTGAGCTCATTGATCCTGCTATTGAGTCTAGCGGGACCTATAATGTAACGTAAATGCATAGAGTAAGTTACGTGGAATAAAACGACAATGCTTCATCAATACATCTGTTTAACAAGCAGAAGCGTGTAAAAAGCCTTGTTTCAATCTGCTCTGTCCACAGTCTCTCATCCTCTATGTTTTATATAAGCACAGCTAACGTAAGCTTGGCAATTAGCCACTTGTACAAACCAGCTAACTTAAATTGAAAGCTATCTGTAGTCTAACTGTTAAGCTTAGTGTGCCATGTAGCTTAACATTTAGTACGTTTTTACCTGTAGTGCATCACAGCAGAGAGTGAGGGAAGGACTGATGCTGAAGTTTTTTCTGAAACTGTGCTAAACGTCCGAACCTGACAACATGTTTGTTTGGCTCTAGCTGCCTGCACCCCCATCTGTGTGGCTACATCCAGGCGCAGCAACATAACGCCCAGAGCTCGACAACAGCAGCGGCGCATGTTACAGCATCCCTCTTGCTTTTTTATCAGATTCAGTCTAAAGTCTCTGCGCAAATTGGTCATAAAACTGTTTGTTTCAACCTGATGAATGCCACCTGTCCATGAAGAGGTGCACCGTTTGTGAGGATGATCAACACCCCTAAATTGCTAAGTAAGGCTGCCTGTTCGCTCCACTTGTGGCAGGTTTCATTCATGAAAATGAGGAAGAGGAAGAGTTGAACACTACAGGGTTCAAGTCCCGCTATTGGAAATCAGCTGAGGAAAACCTGACAAATTTAGCAGTGTCAGAAGTTATTTAGTATTAGAGGACCCGAACCAATAAGAAAATATTGATAGTGTTGCAAACGACATGCCATTAGAGAATTGATGGTGAACACATCCTGCTACAGCAAAGGTGTTCATGGCTTAAGGCCCATTTATACTCCTGTGTAGGGTCTACGTGCGTACCTACGCCTTAGGCTACGCACGTAGCCATGCATTTATACTTGTGCGTAGGTCTGTCAGCAGTAGCGCTACAGCGTCCACTGTGTTGACTTTTGCTGGCCAAGCAGGCTAACTTCCGGTTTAGCGCTCCGCTAACGTAAATGGGGGTAAAATTGTATACGTGCGCCTACTGCGCTACTGCCGACTAGCGTTTGGGGGTGTAATTGCAGAATGACAGACAGACCTACGCACAAGTATAAATGCATGGCGTAGGTATGCACGTAGACCCTACGCAGGAGTATAAACGGGCCTTTAGATGGGAGGCCGTCAAGGTGATGAGATGGTCCCGGCGATGGACACAATGATAACGTTACAGAAGGTGACGTTACACACTGTCAGCTGTTATAAAAAGAGGGTGATCGTGGAAGACGCTGATGCAGCTGTGAGAACTGGCCTAGCACCAACTGAACTGTACAAGATGCCCACATGAATCATAAAATCTATTAAAAAATAATTTAGATCAAAGGAATTTTAATTCTAAATAAGCGTTTTTCCCCCTGTAGAGAGAGGCAGACTATCTGTACACGAGGGGACTGAACTAAGTTCTAAGTTTGAGAGAATGCCACAGATTCTCTTTAATCACTTTAATCTTTCTGTAAGAGCCATTGTTTCTTTTTAGGCCCATTGAGAGGTTTCAACAAGCTGGTACAGAACTAAGAGCAAACCAACTGAGAGGCATTCAGGCTGTTAAATCAGGCATCTTGAATTAAACAAAGCTATAAATAGAGCTGGTCATACAGGAACAGGAGGTCATTCTGGCGTCTAAGTTTAAAGTTAAGTTTCTGTAGTGTCTAGATTTTCTGTCTTATTCCCAAAGTGTTCTTTTCAACTGCTTGTGGTGTGAAGCACTGCTCGGACTGAAAATCAAAAGCAAGCATGAATGAATGAAGTCTAAGACAATAGAGAGAAGTTCCTTTACCTCAATTTCAGTGGCATTCGTAATAACAGATAAATCAATAACTGGTCTCAGTCCTGGCCAAAGGGTGAAGCTTGTGCACGGTGATCATCAGAGCTCCACAAAGCCCTCTGCTGCTATGCAGTCTTTCAGGGCCCAGACATTCTGCAGCAGCTATCACAGTGAAATAAAAAAATGACTGGAGCAATGTTTCCTCCTTGTTGCTTCCCAGACTGATGCTGGCAGCAAGGTGACGCCGACTATCATTGCCATTACCACTTACACTGAGCAATACTTTTCCATTAAGATCATAAAGATTATCCTACAACTTAGTGCTCAGGCGGTTTTCATGCAGTGGCATATCTTGTCTACTTCAGATTGTCCTCGGGGATCTGTAATACAGCCTCTGTATTTTTCATTTCACCTTTAAAGACCAACCGCTGCTGCTGATGTCCTCTCTGAACTGAGCCTGTGGTGCTGTTTCACTTTTGAAAATTAAAACTTGGTTGGTGGGGCGCTCATATATTGTAATACAAAGAAATCAACGCCACTGTGTCCCCTGTGTGGGCTTATAATAATCAGCAACACAGTAATTGCAATATACAGGTTATTTGCTCCTTTATGCTTAATGGAAAATAATCGCGTACAGTCTGTGGGTGGTTTATTATAGTCTCTAAAATTATTGTGTGATTATAGAGAAGTGCAGGTTGGGACTTTGGAGGGGCCGGGAAGGAGATTTTATATACCCACAAACATTAGACTTCAAAACCAACAGAGAATTTAATATCTAAAAACGTTGCCACAGCCTCACCACCACAGATGAAACATATTAAGCAGTGTCATTCAGGAATCACTGACTTTGGCACCCACAAGAACAATGCAGCTCTACCACAACAACCTATTGTGGCAACCTGTGACACTGTTTAGTGTTTTCTGCTTCTGTTGTGTTTACACGGTTAATGTTGATTTCGCATACAACACGATGCGAAGTGCGCCACCCATGAGCTGTGATAGCATGGGTGCATGGGTGCGCATACGCGGACGAACTATTATGCTGCAAGCGTATGCGCCTGCAACATTCAGCAGTTCTTATCAAATGAAACAGTCCCTTCACTCATGGTTTCAATGGTAAACCACCACAAGAATGACAATTCCCAACAAAAAACACTATATTCTAAGGAGAAACATTTTAATAAACATAAATCATAAAGTAACATTTCTATTTCAAACAAATGGTGAACTTGTTAACACATTTTAACAAAACTCCCTTCCCCGTCGTGCATCATGGGAATTCTGAGGGACGGACGTAGGCTGCGCAAGGGTTTATTTGCGCCGTCAAAGTCCACTGGAAGCCTCTCAGAAGTTTTTCAGCAGCGGAGCGTGCAGCCTGCCCCACGTTGACTTGTTTTTAGTACGGTGTGTCCTTTTTGTGCTTCTACTATCTTCTTCAAAGCTCTCTGTGGCTCGCTTTCGTTCATCGTCTTGACGGGTGCATCTAGCAACTACCACAGGGAGCATTTCAGAATAAGAGCGTTTTGCCTGCCGGATTTTGCAGACACGTTTAGATTTTGATTAGTGCTTGCTTTTTGAGCTTCTACTATTATTAAGTAGGCTACGTAGTTAAATTGTTTCTTTTTTGTCTGAATGAGCTGTGTTTATTGTTGATAAATGATCGGATATTTTACCAGGTATTTTATTTTGAAAATTGACCTGATTCCCTGACGTTTCTGAGTTCCTGTCCAGTTCATCTGCTCTGTGCTGCTTGACGCTGGGAGCTCAGAGTTAATTGCTTTTATTAAATTATCTTTTTACTTGTAATTTTTGGGATTAAAACGTTGATTTATCCCATCTCTGTGGGACTACTTCTTATTTATACAGACCGGACAAATCAGGAGACTGCTTGGAGAAAAGTAAGCGAGGAAGTTTAACATCTGGGTAAGTTCAGAAAATGTGTGTCTGTCACTTGATCCCAGCTATCGATGTACTTAACTATAAAAGAACTTAGCATAGCATAGCCCTGATCGATCCCAACTCCACTCTAAAGTTGCTTGCTGACATACCTGACAAAGCATAACTTAATATGTTTAACAAATCGGCATCTTTATGTAGTTATTTCATCAGTTTGATCCGTTTATTGCAACTAAATGACAGCAAAATGTTTAGTTTGCTGTAGTAATGGCGTGTTGTGTTTATTCGCGTTATCGAGTTGTGTGTGAACCCTTGCGCGAGTAGTCCTGCGGTCAAACTCATGTGATAAAGGTGTTGCAACATTAAAATTTGCGTTGCATGTGAACAGACGCAAACAAAAAAAGTCCAAATGCCACTACATGATTTTTCATTAACTCTCCGACGTTCACTGTGCAATCAGACGTCCTGCAAATCAGTTAGTACATACGACAGACTCTTTATTCTTTAGTTTTTGTGAGCTTACCAATACAGACGTCTATCTTGCCCTTGATGGCAGCTTCATGGAGTGGCGTGTAGTTCCAGTTGTCTCGAGCATTGGGGTCAGCCCCCTGACACAGCAACAAAGACACCACCTAGAAACAAAAGGCAGAACATCCTCATTTACTCTTTATTTGCCAAAAAAAAAGGTGGTGCTTTTAGCAACATTGGAGTTTTCCCCCTACTTGAGCCGGTAAACCTTAATCAAGCAGTAAAGTTGTGTCGCCTCTGTGTCTGTCAATCCCACACCCCATCTTACCCTCACTCGTGAAAAGATGCCTAGACACGCCTTCACTTAAGGCAGCAACTCGTTCCCAACTTGAAGGGTTTACAGTAATCCTCCATTTTCCAGCTGAGATATTCCACAATCTGAAAACCAGACCCCTACACTAACCTTGCACTGCAACATTTTTAGTTGCAAATCACACTTGAAAAAAACAAAAACAAAAAGAACACAAAAGCAAGGCAAACGACCACTTTTGGAGGCGCTGAGTGACTGGTTTCAGTTTGGCCAGTGTGTGCTCTCATCACAACGCTAATCATCGAGCTACATTAGCACAGCGCTTCACTGGCAAGGCTGCAAAGTGCTCTCAGAGAAGGTTCTAAAAAGCCTCCAACACATTTGAAATTGTAAACATTAGATTGATCGCTGGGGTTAATGGCCACAAGGGACTAAAAGCATTAGCACATCTGTCTCAGATGTTCCAAAACATCATCCTGAATGGGCTGGACCAGAATATCAAAATACTGGGTAAAACCTACACCCCTGCACCCATTCTGGATTTTACCACCACACCTATTCTTGTGCACAAAACTGGACATTGGAAAAGTAGCATACATTTTTCACCTTTCATCATACAAGTACACTCAGAGTTGTGGTGAAGGCATAACACAAGTGAGGTATGCAATGCTTTCTGAAATACCAGTGGAAGAAGATACTAAGGTACTAATACTACACTGTGAAAATATTCCACTACAGAAAACGTCCTTCATCAAAACCTTACATAAATAAAAAGTATGTAAGTATTATCAGCACAATGTGCTTCAAGTATCTAAAGTAAAAGTACTCATTCTGCAGTAAAATGGTCCCTGGTCAATGTTTTTCTATTATGAGGTTTCTAAATGAATATTACTGCTGTATATATTGAAGTTGGTGCTCATTTTCTCCATTTGGTAGTTAATCTACAGCAATGCATCCTTTTCTAAAAGATCATCATATGTTTGGAGTGTCGCAGTCCTATGAGATCCACGTCTGTAAAAAGTCAACTTTTCATGAGCTCAGAAAAACTGCTGTTCTCAGCTTTGTGACGATGCATTTTATAACTAATCTGAGGGTTTCTTTTTCAGTTTACTTAGCTGAAGAAAAAGTTTATCTCAATCCATAAAGGAACACTTGGACCTTTAGCAAGGGTAAAAGTAAGGGTAAAATAAAAGTGTAATCTGTAATTAGCTAGTAAATAAAGCTGTGAAGTGTAAGTTGCATAACATGGAAAAACTCAAGTCAAGTACAAGTATCTCGAATTTGAAGTACAGTACCTGAGTAAATAGATTTAAATTAAAATAAATTAGTCACATTCCACCACTGTGAATTACTATGAACTGAATTACTACATGGCAAAATAAACCCCCTTCTAACACAAATACACCATCAAAATGTTGCCCTGTTAAGTCTCACCTCGGAGTGACCAAATGAGCAGGCGTTGTGAAGCGGGATCAGACCCCCGTCATCCCGTGCGTGCACATTAGCGCCTGTCTGAAGCAGGTGGTCCACCACATCTTTCCGGCCAAAACCTGGGAAAGGAAGGGAGATAGGTTAAAGGTTAAAGTGGAGAGATGGGGGGGGGGGGGGGGGGGGGGGGGGGGGGGTAGTTGGGGAGAGGACAGAGAGAAGTAAGAACAAGGAGATGATGGTTACATCAACTGAACGGAGTGTGCGATATTATGATATTAGATCATGAACGATTCAAATGTCTACACGATCTGCCTTTTCAAAGAGATCTTTAGTACCGTGCTCTTTTTATATACAGTCTATGATCGTGCTATCAGTTTAGTTTAGCGGCTACACACGCAGATGACAGCTGCTCTGTCAGCTGCCACGCTGCCTGCGTCCTCCGCTGTCTACAAAGGCAACACTGGAACTGTTGGGCATCATAAAATTAACATTAAAGTTCCCCATGTCCCCCAGCTGCTCTGCCTCAACTCTCTGTGATTTACAGAGGTTGCTGATGAACAGAAAGTGTTAACGTTACTTGTTGCTAAAGTAACCACTGACTAGCTGCTGTTTTATCTCGGAAGCTGTGTTCGGTCGCGGTCTGTCCACAGTGTTCACTCACTGAGAGCCCAGCTAACCAGTCTGCACAGAGCAGAGTCTGCATGACGGGGAAGGGGCGTAATGTACATTCAGGCTATTGGCTACAGTAAACGGCAGTAAGTAAACACCCTGTCTTTATGTTTTTATTTATGCAGAAGCAAATAGCACATTAATGGTTATGCAAATCAAAAGATGTATTTTAAAATCTTTAAAATGTTATAAGAACAAAATGAATCAGTTCTTTGTTGTTTGAATGAATCATGAGTCAACATTGTCTATGAATAATAAAGTAGTGTTATTTTTCTCTTTTAAACCAACAAACCAATTACTTAGAAACAAAACAGTCTTAAAAACAAACATGAAAATGAATAGTGATAAGATTGTGAATCGTGATCCTGCCTGAAATAAATCGTGATGATATTTTTGCCATATCGTCCACCCCTGTCCCTAAAATTTTTTGTGCATGGTTAAATATAATCCAAAACTCTGACAGATATTCAGAAACTCTGAATTGGTAACTTATGCTGATAAAACTGATTCATTTACTTCTGCTGTTATCTGTTTTCAGTTTGATTCCTATTTCATGTTAATGATTAAAACTTAACTTGAAATCGTCTTTTGTTTTTGTTAAGGCACTTGTAGCGGCTGTTTGGAAAAGTAAAGCTTGTTATGTCTTCACTACAAATGCACCGTGGGACTCAAGAAAATCTCTTCTTATTCAAGCTACTGAGGAAGGCCTGAGATGTTACACAGTTGTGCAAATATTTCTTTTTTCATCTGCACTGATGAAAGAATTTAAAACAGTGAAGTCTGGAACGGAAGTTAAGATGAGCACTTCTCACAACTATGTACTTGTCTGATTTGTGAACCAGTACCGTGAAGATTAAAATGAAAAATTTTAATCTTATCTATTGTTGAGATGATTGAGTCTTCTCTGTGTTTTTTGCTACCTCACCCGAGGCAAAAATGAATACACTCCACTTCTATAGAAGTACAGACTCAGGTTCAACTAGGAGTTGAAACCAGCTTGGTTGTTTTGTTGCAGCCATGTTTGCAACCCTTTTGAAGCTATTTTGGCAAATAAAAAAGTGGCTGGGAACAACTCTTTACAGTAATGTTCACCTGCTGAAACGGCCTTTCAGCAGGTGTCTTTCTGTTGACCTTTTACTATGCAGTAGCAACGTTTGACGCTTACAAAAATACACAAACTGCAACATCAGCCCTTCCTTGATTTAAGATTATTTTTAGGTATGTTTCTGTACATAATTTTAAGTTAATTTCACATTCAACAAATGAAAATCCAAATCATCTTTCCATCTTCTAGTGCTTTCTAAAGAAAATTACAGTTACAACAGCCCCAACTCAAAATGTGGAATTGCTCTATCCATACAAATTGTGTGGTATACTTGCGTGTCCTTGTAAACTTTTTTATATGGGATTTTTGGTGTGACTGAGACCTTTAACATTGGATGACAGCAATAAGTTACCCTATATGTTTTTGAGAAAAAATGAAAAAGGTGTTTTTCTTGGTTGGTGCATTTCAATTCTTTTCTGTTCTCGTCTGCCAGCACCATCCAAAAAACTGTTGGGGTAACACATATAATAGTGCTAACACATGCTTTTTACTCTTTATGGTTAACTTACCTGCAGCAAAATGCAGCGGTGTCGATTTACGTCCTGCCATGTCTTTAGCGTTCACATTCACAGCATCGACGAGTTTCTTCACCCTCGAAACATCCCCGTTTCGACATGCTTCAAACAGCTCCCTGAAAGCCCCGTTTGCGCTGCCACTGCTGCTGCTGCTGCTGCTGCTGCCCGGGTTACCGCTGCCCGAGTCGGGCGTAGAGCCGGGGCTGGTACCGCTACCCTCGGTGGTGGTCGGAGAGCTAGCGCTGCTGCTAGTGTTGGTGGAGCTGCTGCTGCTGCTGCTGCTGCTGCTGCTGCTGCTGGCGAGGGCCGGAGCAGGGGAGGTGGTGGTGGGAGAGGCAGGGGCTACCTCACCGTCAGCCGCGTTCTCCACCGCGCCTCTGCGGGGAAGCGGGTTGGCATCGTCGGTGGGTGCCGGCGGAGAGCCAGGCGGCGTGACGGGTAGAGAGGAGCCGCGGGGCGGGGAGGACAGCAGGGAGTTTGGTTGCTGCTGCTGAGAGGTGCGACGAGGCGTCGCCATTTTCACAACAGACCCCACTAGCAACAAAAACACTGCTGACAATTTCCTGCCCAGGAAAGTCCAACTTCCGCTTGGCCTTACTGGGATTAACGTTTGCTGGACTGGACTCCAAAAATGTGTATGAAAGCTTTACTGGGATATTATGACAGCTTCATTAGTAACACAATCTTTATGCAGGATTACAGACTAAAATGATTTGTAAATATGTGGCTCCCTGCCATTTTATGCATATTTAGCTGTAAATTTAGCCTACGAGAAGCTTTTTTTAGTTTCTGTGATATAGCCTACGGTATTTGGGGGGGATTTAAAAAAAGTTATTTGGTGGGTAGATAACGTTAAGCTAGGAGGTTTGCATATTCTTTCCAATTCAAGGGGGACAAGCCAATGGAAATATTTGGTAGGATAGGCCTTACTTTACAAAAATTAAACATGTTTACTCTTATTTAGGCATAGCCTAGGCTATAGCCTACTTATGTGCTCTTATTTAATGTGTGTGATTAGGGTTGTGTTGCAGGCCACGTTTGTCAGATGGCACTCGTCTGATTTTATTTATTTATTTATTTCCAGCATTCTTTGCACTATGCTCCATCACACTGTGTACATGTGTACATGTATGCATGTATGTGTATGTGTACCTGTATATCATATCCACCATTCTACATGTACATAATGACATAATAGTTTACTCTTGCATCCTTTGCACTCTGACCACTGCCCTATTTGTCAATATGTCTATATTGTTTTGTTCATAGTGTATATATTAGTGTTGTCTATATTGTATTGTTTGTGTCTGATTTTATTTTAATATTATTTTATTATTGTGTTATGGTATTTCTTTATGAGTAAGCACATCATGAGCAATGTACAATCCTGAGTCAAATTCCTCATATATGTACACATAACTGGCAACAAAGCTGATTCTGATTTCTAGTGCCCTCTTTTTGTTACAACATTAGTAATAATACAGTTTAGGACGCATAATCGACCGACACAGTAAATTGAGTTAGTTGATGTTTTATTTCTCAGTCTTTGATCAGCAACTTCACAAAATGCACAAGAAATGTCGAATGTGGACGTATCGAAAGGACAGAAGGAGAATGATAATTACTATATGAGGGGTTCTTTTAGCCCCATAGATACACATGTTTTAGCCTTTTTATATACAGTCTATGGTTTTAGCCCACTGATTTTGTAGAGGAGTGAAGTCAGTTGAGCCGGTGTTGCCACCTAGTGGAGACGATGGGTAATAACTTCAGAACAGCTTCACCCACTCAACAGGTGCTGGTCATATAATTAGAATATCATCAAAAAGTTGATTTATTTCAGTAATTCCATTCAAAAAGTGAAACTTGGATATTATATTCATTCATTACACACAAACTGATATTTCAAATGTTTATGTCATTTAATTGTGATGATTAAAACTGACAATGAAAATCCCAAATTCAGCATCTCTGAAAATTAGAATATTACTTAAGACCAATACAAAAAAAGGATTTTTAGAAATGTTGGCCAACTGAAAAGTATGAACATGAAAAGTATGAGCATGTATAGCACTCAATACTTAGTTGGGGCTCCTTTTGCCTGAATTACTGCGTGGCATGGAGTCAATCAGTCTGTGGCACTGCTCTGATAGTGGCCTTCAGCTCATATCACATCTTCCTCTTCACAATACCCCATAGATTTTCTATAGGGTTAAGGTCAGGCGAGTTTTCTGGCCAATTAAGAACAGGGATACCATGGTCCTTAAACCAGGTACTGGTAGCTTTGGCACTGTGTGCAGATGCCAAGTCCTGTTGGAAAATGAATTCTGCATCTCCATAAAGATGGTCAGCAGCAGGAAGCATGAAGTGCTCTAAAACTTCCTGGTAGACGGCTGCATTGACCTTGGACCTCAGAAAACACAGTGGACCAACACCAGCAGATGACATGGCACCCTAAACCATCACTGACTGTGGAAACTTTACACTGGACTTCAAACAACGTGGATTTTGTGCCTCTCCTCTCTTCCTCCAGACTCTGGGACCTTGATTTCCAAAGGAAATGCAAAATTTACTTTCATCAGAGAACATAACTTTGGACCACTCAGCAGCAGTCCAGTCCTTTTTGTCTTTAGCCCAGGTGAGACACTTCTGACGCTGTGTCTTGTTCAAGAGTGGCTTGACACAAGGAATGCAACACACAGCTCTGTGAACAGCCAGCCTCTTTAGCAATAACCTTTTGTGTCTTGCCCTCCTTGTGCAAGGTGTCAATGGTCGTCTTTTGGACAGCTGTCAAGTCAGCAGTCTTCCCCATGATTTTGTAGCCTACAGAACTAGACTGAGACACCATTTAAAGGCTTTGCAGGTGTTTTGAGTTAATTAGCTGATTAGAGTGTGACACCAGGTGTCTTCAATATTGAACCTTTTCACAATATTCTAATTTTCTAAGATGCTGATTTTGGGGTTTTCATTAGTTGTCAGTTATAATCATCAAAATTAAAAGGAATAAACACTTGAAATATATCAGTCTGTGTGGAATGAATGTATACATTATACAACTTTCACTTTTTGAATGGAATTACTGAAATAAATGAACTTTTGATGATATTCTAATTATATGACCAGCACCTGTGTATATATATATATTTTTTTCTGCAATAAAAGTTCTTCACTTGCATGCTGAACCCTCACTTGCTGCTTCTAAAACACCATGGCTTTACCATTTGTGCAAACTGTCTGAAAGGTGGTACATTTCTGTCTCATTCTGTTAGATATGTGTGCTCTGTAGCCTACTCTGTGCAGCCACAAACAAGGAAGAACAAGATCTGAGCCACACACCAGTCATCAGACACCTCGCTGGTATAATAAATTGGCCAAAGGAGGAGATAGAGGTCACTGATATTGACAGTGCACGGAAGGCTTCAGCCCAAATCCAGCACCTGAGACTGTACATTAAGCAGAATAAGGGAGGTTGAGGGCTAGTGATTGTCAAAACCACTGTCCACAATGAAACAACAAAGATCCACCTAAATCAGGAAGGTGGCCCCCAAAGATGACTGGCTAAGTGAATACCTCAAGCAGCAGAAACCTGACGATGATGACACGGCGGAGGAAGAACCATCTTGGAGAGACAAGCAGCTGCACGGCATGTACCAATAGACAGAAGAAGTGGCTGACATCAAGAAATCCTTGAAAATCCATCAGTGGCTAGAAAAGGGTGGACTAAAGGATGGCAAAGAAGCACTAATCATGGAGGACAGGAGCTACCAAAGATGTGGAGAGTGAAACCAACAGTGGTGCCAGTGGTAATCGGAGCTCTGGGGCTGTGACCCCCAAACTGGGAGAGTGGCTCCATCAGATTCTAGGTACAACATCTGTCTCTGTCCAGAAGAGGAGCAGCTAAAATACTACACAGAACCCTCAAACTCCCAGGCCTCTGATAGAGGACCGGAGCTTAAAGGATGACACCACCACCCCACAATTCTTTAATATGCGTGTGTGTGATAGTTTGACAGGTAACTCAGCCTGCCAAGTCCTGTTGCCACACTGGTTTTGTTTGTCAATTGTTCCACCTCTGCTCCACTACTTGTGCTGCACCCTCTTGTCCAAATTAAACTGCAACCTTAAATTCAGAAACCTAAGGGCTATATGTCAGCATACAATCTGTGGTGGAAACCGTCTTGTTTTTACTCGACATAACACCAGTTTTTACAAAGAGACCAACACATTAAAAGTCACTGGCATATTACTGAATTTGTAGGTTTTTGTAACCTGAGCTGTGTGTTTTTGTAGTGCAGAAAGAAACCTGGGCACCCAAAGGAAAATCCACCAAAACATGATGAAAACTCGAGATGGAGGGCTGTGATCTGAGTCAAGGACTTTCTCAATGTAAAGCAACACTAAAGAATGCAAGGGCGGATATTTATTAGTCACCAGAAGTCCTAACCAGACCCATAAGCTACCACAGACAAATTATATAAGGCTTTGGCATTTTGATAATGTTGGTCATTGTTTCCCCTTAGTAGCAGTGGTGGTGGTAGTATCAGCACCAAAACTTAAACATGAAAATGTAAAGTGTTTCACAACAGATCCAGATGGTTTTTATGTCTGTTTGTATTCACGTGTCTGCAACAAGTACAGTAATGGTGTGACAACTGACAACAAACACGCGACAGCTGAGTGATCCTGTTTGATAAAGCAAGAATTTGTCAGGGGATGACTATGCAAAGGTGAGTCTGGATGGTTGACATACCTCTCATACTTTCTCCAACTGGCCGGAAAAGAAGAACAAACAAAAACATCCCCACAGCTTTAAAAACATTTGACTTTAATAGTTTGAATTTGTACCATCAGCGACAATTGCTGTTAAAGGATTACATTTAAAGGAATAAAATTGCACATACTATACATTTGGTGAAAACTATTGACTCTCATCCCCTCTTAGATCTTCATGTTGTTATTCTTTCAAATAAAAGTGCCTGTTTTCGTGACTACAGGGACAAAATTTGGGTAAAAATCAAATGGGATGTTAATGGGCAAACATCAGTTGTTCTCAGGTTGTTCAGTTCCTTAGAAACTTAATCACTTTCATGTGTGGTTGATAAAGTTGATGGCTGTATGAGGGCAGTTAGAGCAGTGGTTCCCAACCTTTTTTCCTTGGCACCCCCCCTAAAGCTGACAAAACAGGCACACAGAAAATTATTATGTAATTACTTACTAATAGCGAACAAATTGAGTCAAATGACACCTCCATGGCTCTCTGTAAATCAATGCCAGCTCTTGGTTGGCCTTCACCAACAGTCTCCTGGTGTTTTGTTTCTTGGTATTGTTTAATACCAAGAAAGAGTATAAGGTGTAATATTAAGGTGTAGGCTAATATTTACAAAATATAGGCCTACAGCTTGCACTTAAGCGCTTTCAACATATAGCCTACTCTACTTGGGCAGGCCGGACAGGTATAGTTGCACCTGCCAAAGTATATTTAGTAAACCACTTCAGCATTTTGCAGTGAAACGGTGAGGGAGAGGTCACCTGGTACTATTATG